GGAGGTACAGGTTTTTGGACTCGAACGAGACCGAGCCGAATGTCGATGTCAGAGAGAATTGCGAGGTCGGGATAGGTTATGGGGCATGTACTAGTATAATCTCATGAAATATCGAGGCGGCGCTTGCATCGATCATGGACGTACCTATAACAACACGGGTGACGCACCCGTGTTGTTATAGGTACGTCCATGCACCTCCTCTCGTATGCCAGAGCAGATATGCTTACGTTTCTTGTGTTTCGTATCTATTATTCAGGTCTTTCTATTGCGTATGTATTACTTTACGGACTCGAAATACGAGGTTTGTAATTTAAATAAACGGAATTCATCGCAGCCTTATCTCATGCGTCCAGGTACCGGTGAACCTGCACGCTTTTACGTAATCCCCCTAACGCCTCGCATTCGTTGCCAGCGATCTACCGATGCACGATATGTCTCCGACATGCCCTTTTCCGACATGCGTCCGAGCTCTTTCGTCACACCGATTTCGGCTCTCTATCGGTGCCGGATCGGCATCCTTTCGGCCGAGTCTTCGGTTGCGTTGAAATCACGGCAGGTTCACGCGAACTCGGCCGTGTAAGGTAAGGCTGCGTTAATTTCAGTTCGAATACATGATTTCAACGAAAAAATAGCAGTGAGGAAGCGGCGGGCGGGACGGACTTCCTATTTTCCCTCGATACTCTTCCAAGATTCCTTAGGTATTGCATACTGATCGAAAGGGGACAGAGAGAACCTTCCAACGATTTATAATTCGCCATGATTGTGAGGCGAAATTTCGAGCCTTGATTGGGGAAAGAAAGGACTACATAACCTCTAGATTCCTTAGGTATTGCATACTGATCGAAAGGGGACAGAGAGAACCTTCCAACGATTTATAATTCGCCATGATTGTGAGGCGAAATTTCGAGCCTTGATTGGGGAAAGAAAGGACTACATAACCTCTCAGGAAGCTCAGGGTTTGTTTTGCTTGTGAATGTTATTATTGTTATTTATTTTATGGTATACGTAAAGGCTAATCCTAGTACTTGTAAACAGTTTTGATTTTGCCTCAGATGGCTCTGGAGAGATGACTCTGGGGCTTGGCCCTCGAGGCCAAGCCGAGGCCAAGCCCCGAAGATTTCTCTCACAGACGATCCAGGCGCCAGATTTCAGTTTACTATTCGATGAAAGTGGAAGAGGCTTTCGCGGGAGAACTTTCTTCTGCTGGATTTTTTGTTTGAGATTTCTGGGAAAGGCTCTTCCGTAATGAACGTTTTTATGCACAGGGGGACCACTCTCTTGACTTTCTGTTTCTCCGATCGAAATTCCAATACAGCCAAGGAGATTAACACGTTATTCCGGTCCGGTCGTAAATCGTCGGATGGAACGCAAGACGGGAGCGTGCTAAGGAAGGCGGAAGGGATTGCGCCATTCTCTTCCACACGAAAGAAATAAGAAATTTTCTTTTTCCCCCTCCCTCCTTCCTTTGGCCCCTTTTATTTTCCAACCAGTTCCTTCCTGCACCGACCGCTAGAAAGTACATTGTAATCGGCATTTACGCCTCGGGCCTCTCCATTCAGATATCCCCCACGGCCCAACGAAGGGAAAAATATTCAATAAAAATCATTCGTAAATATAAAACAAACTTACGCGAGGCGAGGAGGAGGAGGAGTAAAAGAGAAGTTGGGAGCATGGTCGGGTGCCCAGTGGTAGCGTCACCTATGTGTCGCCGACATCCAACCAGCAGAACATCCCGCGCGCATGCACGAAGGTCCCCAGCAACGACCACCACCGCACGAACCGCACGCACCCAAACCGTGAATGAGCGGTCAATGAGAAGAGGGAGGAAAGTGAGTGAGCGAGTGAGTGAAAGTCCCGCGTTACCGCCCCTCCTCCTCCGATGTTCCCCAAGGATTCCTTCTGTTTCTCGTTTAGATCGGGGAAGGAAGTTTAATCGCTTAAATGGAGGAAACCGGAGACGGGACGGTCCGCATGTCATCTAACTGGTCTGGGATCCCAATGCGTCATCGCTGCTCTCTTAAACACGGACAGCAGTCGGAAGGGCAAATCGAGTCCTTAGCATTTTAGCACCTGGCGCGTGGCGTCGACGTAGACTCGTGGTCACTCCGTGGCGAGGTATCGGGTTTAAATTCCTCGAAGTCCTTTATCGTGCTCGGTGGAAAAATTTTAATGCGAGGATCTGTTTTAGAAGAAAGTCGTCGCCTTGGCATTTTCATGGAAGATGAAGTGTTGACGTGAAAGATTTTTCGCCTTGTCCCAAACTAACCTACGGGTTGGAGGGCAAAAACAAAATCTCGAGCATCGCCGGAAAAAGGAATTTTTAATAGACGGAAGCAAGAAGATTGGCCTGGAAATGGTGGGGGAAAAATTGCCATGATGTATCAGCTTCAGAAAAACTTATGCAACGCTGAATGTGGGTTAAGTGCGAATACTTATCCGAAGGAATACAAATTATGAAATATTTGAACCCTGACTCGCATATTTTGGGCGAGATTTTAGAGTTTTGATTGGAAGTCACAGGGTTTCAAAAGGAAGGAACAGGAAATTAATAAAAATTATTTAATATAATACAACCATACTTAATCATCTTCATCAGTTCTGCTCACAATTAAGTCCTTATTTTATTATGCATGTTTTCGACCAGTAGCGTGCCCAGAAGATCTCAATGGTGTGATTTGACATGTGAAAAATTGGTAGCCCACCCTTCCATTTATGGCGAAATTAAAAAATGTTTCAGAATCGATAACCTGTAAAATGTACCCCGATGAATGGGATACATTTTACAGGTTATCGATTCTGCTACCGAATTCCGGAACCGATTCGACCAGTCCCCCCCCCCCCCTCCTTCGAAACGCCACTGTTTTCGACATTTCTGTGCTACGTTTCGTGATCTGACTCGCTAAAGCGAAAATAAGGCCAGGACAATAAATTTTGAAATTAGGTCATTCTTTTCATTTTCAAAAGCCTTTTTTTTCTTCAGCCCCGAATGGGCAGAGACAAAACTGACATGTAAACAAGTCATGAGATAATTCTTCTTGGAAATTGATGATTCCAAATGGAACCACCGAGCATTAAATTTTAATGGAAGTCAACAAATTTTATGTTCGAGTTCGACAGACGGACTCCACCCCTGCTGATCTTCAGGGTCGAAACCCAGTCGAAGGGGATCTTAAAGCATTCATTCCGATGGCGTTGCAGATGAAGTCGTGAGCAAGGAGGTAATTTGATTCGCATTTCTGCAATATGTATAGATCTTGAAATCCGAGAAGTATAAGTATGCGAAAATGCCAAAAGCGCGAATTGTTGACAGTGACGGTTCATGTCCTGGAAGGAAGCTTCAATTAATGTTCCCTATTTATTTATTCCTGTAGTCCCCATCGAGCGTATTCAAGTACGTCTGATAACAAGTATTCAGAAAATATATTTTCGCTTGTACGTGTGACGTTTCATCTCATTCGCTTCGTTTCCACGCGTTCCCACGCGTTCCCACGTTGTGGCCGGGGAAAGTTTGGGAAACGGCCCTGAAGGGACTAGGAATGTCGCCTTGAAGGGCCGTTTCAGTGTTCCTCCTTCACACGTCGATGCGTTTCCCGGCCTTGAAATTTCTTCTCTCTTTTTTCCTTCCATCTGTCTCTGTTTGCCTCCTTAAGTCATCCCTTACGTAACGTCTGCGCGTGTCCGTCCCGTACCTGAAGCTTGGGAAATTCCCAGCTCGTAAATCAGGGAGGAGGAGGGGGGAGGGGACATTCTGTCATATTCCCTCTGCCCGTTTTTGGGCTCAGGGTCGGAGATTTCCATGGGTAGGAGGGTGCATGTACGAGACGGTCTTTCTTGCCATCAGTCGTTTGGAACAAGAAATAATTGAAAAATGCAGATATGGGGGAACTTTTTTTTTTCTTTTTAGTTTGAAAACCCATGAAATGCTTTTCCTTAACTATCGCGTTTGTGCTACCGTGTATATACGAACATATGTGCAACTGGGTATTTTCATGCAGCAACACGACACGTGTCTCATGTCGCGAGGACGTGCAGGGAATCACGTTTGCTAACGTGGGTGACCCGTGGAACCTTGGGTTTATCCTTGGGTCCTTGGGGCGGTGGCGCCGCCCCGCCCACCCGGGTCTGCCGATTCCATTGCTATCTTCTTTTTCTTTGTTTTTCATCAATTACTTTCTCTCTCTGAGGTCTGTTTTGACGACCACTCATAGGTGGTGACACGGTAATAATCGGTTTCCCGACCTTTGCGATCCAAGCTGAATGTTTTGCCATTCATGGTATTCGAATTCTACAATTGCTAGCGGTTTACAATTTAACTCCAGGTTAACTCATTTCCCGCCGAGTATTATTTTGAGCGCTGCAACCCCATGACGCCAAGCTTTTTTTTTTTTTTTTTTTTGAAAAAGTAAAATTGGTTCTTTTTTTTCGTTCAAGACGCAAATAAGAATCTTCTAATGATCACTCCCAAGATAATTTCGTATTTAACTCTTCCTTATAGCATGTGAAATCGCCTGGGGGAAGCCCGTGAAAGGGCGCCAGGACTGAGTCCGCGGTTTCCGGGAAATGGGTTCAGTAAAGTGTGACCGTCGAATCGAAGGGCTTGGGATTATAAGGGGGTTTGTCACTGTCCACGAATTAACAGGAATCACCAGAGAATTTATGAATAGCATTCTATCCTTCGTCTTTAGACGTCATGACGTGTTTATACCGGCAAAACTATGAGAAACACGGTCACGGGGACTTCATGTTTGAAGAGAGGGTGTCCAAATGCCACGGAATGACCCACATTCAGCATGTGGTCAGCATGTGACTTACCCTTCCTTATAATCCTTGAACCCTTTCGGTCTCGTTTGGAAAACGGACATATGATCCCGAATCGCTTAGAATACCTAACGAGAACTCTTCCTTACTTCTCTAGTATATGACATCGAAATAACGTACGATCACCTTGGGGCTGCTGCCCCTCACTTCTGTGCCCTGTGAGATATACGAAGTGACGCAAAATGAAAGTGAAGATCAAGAAGTGGACGGGGGTGGCCGTGTGGAAGTGGACGGCCAATGACGACAGCTGCGGAATCTGTCGGATGCCGTTCGAGGCGTGCTGCCCGGACTGTCGCATCCCGGGCGACGATTGCCCCCTCGTCTGGGGACAGTGCTCTCATCCTTTTCATATCCACTGCATCATGAAGTGGCTGTCGTCGCAGCAGATGGCCGCCGCCCAGCTCTGCCCCATGTGTCGCCAGGGGTGGCGCTTCCGCTGACATTCAACCCGTTCTTTCCGTCGCGCGGCCGCGGCTTGTTTTCCGGCCGGGGCGGCGGTTCGCAGTGACGCGTACGTTGATTCATTGCATTCCGAAGTGGTGTCGTCCCGGCAGACGGGATCGGCTAATTAGACGAATCCACCGATAGTGCGGCGCGTCTTCGACGATGCCCAAAGACGCCGGTAGATACAAAGACGAGCACGATGGGTCCAGGACGAGTTCCTCCTTCCGTCAGCATCGTTACGAGTTGGACCGAATGTTCTTCTGGGACGGAAGTGCCATCCCCAGAGCCAGTAAACGGTACGACGATGCCTGGAAATTCGTGGAGAAATACGAGGCCGTGCAGAGGAAGAAAGGGGGAGCGGGATTCAAGGTCGAACAACACAGGAAATCAGAAGTTACTGGTAAATTTTTTTCCGATCAGATTTATTTATTGGGATTCGCATACAGGATGTCCCGTAAGTCACTATACCATTTCAAAAATTCACATCTGCTAAAAGTTGGCACAAAAGAAGTAACATTAACTGAACGATAACATGTCATTTGGAATTATCTTGGTCAAAAATAGAGGCGATTCCGAATTTCGAAAGTGCTTCAAAATGCCTATATCAATATGTTTGGCATGAGGCTCGGCACCAAATAATCGCGGAAACACCATTTGAACTCTGACGGGAATCTCAAAGACTTTTCTCGTAAAAGCGAAAACACACTAAACTAAATAGTTTTTTTTTTCTGTTTCCCGAGTCAATCTGAAGTTGGGAGAGAAAAAGAAAAGCTTTGCAATTTTGCAGGAGGGGATTCAACAAGGTTTACCACGAATCGCTCTAAACAGGTACATCTTTCTGGTATGCATACAAAACAATTTCCGTTTGAGTCTGATACCAAGGCATTACCGTGAAAAAGGCTCGGAATAAATTTTAAAAAAATCATCAATGCTAACAACAGTGACCTGCTTGCTGCAGTTTGGAAAGTATTAAATATTCCAGTTTGAAATGGTATAGTGACTTACGGCGTGTGTGTGTGCGTGTGTGTGCGTGTGTTTATTCTTTAAGTATTTTTTTGCGATGCCTCCTTTTTTTTAACGGAGAAATGGGACTTTTTGTGCAATTGCGTTGACGTATATGTACCACAGAAGCTTTCCTATGCATTTGCGAGAATCCTCCCGTACCAAAGTTTGTCACATTTTGCTAGAACTTACAGGATTGGTGTACTTGATGACCATTCGATAATGTCAGCATTCCATCGAATAAAAAATATTTAAAATTAATTGGAAACTAGGAAACTCGTAGTGGGTTGCAGAGTTGAGTGGATGGTCGAACCGCTCCGCTCCAACCACCAGCCGTCCTCGCGCCTGCACTGCATCCTCTGCTCTTCTCTTTCTCCTTACTCTTCGTATCCGTAGTTATTATGTCTGTTTTATGGCGATACATTCAAAGGAGACTCGTCTTCACCAGGTTCTTCGTTATTTTTTTCATGATTTTTTTTTATTCACTTACGTTATTCTATTTTCATGTCCAGACTGTGTTTTTTCATACGTGAAAGTTTATTCCCCGAGAATCCCTTTCCAGGTGATCTGGGCCTGCCGAAATCGTTCGACCAAACCCATTTGATGAATTTGACTGTGAAGGACTGGTCGATGGAAGAGGTCCTGTCTCGGAGGCCCCCGAGGGACCTGGACGACGACCCGGGCCTCTCCCGCGACCGGATCGCCGAGTTCCGCAAGGTCCTCCACCTCTACTTGGACTTCTCCCAGAAGGAAAAGTTCCTGCAACTCAAGAAACTCCGTCAGGCTCAGGCCAATCTTCCGATAGCTGCCTTCCGGTATCAGCGATTTAACTATGAGGGGGGGGGGTAATGGTGCTAGAAAGGCTGTTTCATCGAATTCTTTCTAGGGATGAGATAGTGGAGACGGTGAAGGAGAATCCGGTCGTGATAGTTGCCGGAGACACTGGTTGTGGGAAGTCCACTCAGGTCCCCCAATACCTACTCCGCGCTGGATTCAAAAATATCGGTGAATCTCGCCGTCGAACTCCAGAACGGTCTGACGGTACGAATTCTCATAAAACTCTTCAACCTTGTTGCAGCCTGCACGCAGCCGCGGCGGATCGCTTGCATCTCCCTGTGCAAGCGCGTGTCTTACGAGACCCTGGACGAATTTGGGTCCCAGGTCGGCTACCAGATCCGGTTCGAACGCAGCAAGACGCAGCACACCCGAATCCTCTTTCTCACCGAGGGCCTTCTCCTTCGACAGGTTACTTAATATTTCTGTTTATGAACTCATTCTTTCTTTCACCCTTTCGTGAAATCAGTTTAAATGTTGCCTTAGTGGACCTTGTGTTTTGGACCAGAGAAGAAGATTTAGCAGATGTAGAACTGTCACATACAAAGTGGATAATCTTAAAAGTGATGGCAGAAATGTGACGTTGTTCTTATGATGCAGGTGAGCCAGGATCCTCTGCTATCAATATACGATGTGATCGTGTTGGACGAGGTCCACGAACGCCATCTCCACGGCGACTTCCTCCTCGGCATCATCAAGTGCCTCCTCCTTCAGCGAATGGATCTCAAAGTATGCGGCTTTCCTTGCTCGCCGTGCGTCCGGGGCGACTCGGGATGTTATCCAGCTGTTTGCGTCCTCGCAGGTGATCCTGATGTCGGCGACCATCAACATCGAGCTGTTCCAGGAATACTTTGCGCATGCGGCTCCGGTGATTAAGGTTCCGGGGAGATTGTACCCCATCCAGGTGAGGTTGGAGTGTCATGCAACTTTTTGTTTGGTCTCGTGCGATTCTCAGCTCTTTTGTGATGCGTTCATAGTAGTTTGATATGCTTGTAATTCGGCGGTTACCCTCCAGGTTTCATATTTATCATTCCTTAACCCTCTCTGTGCTGGTGCACGTCAGATATTCGTTCATATAAACGATAACAAGACTACCAATGTTAATTGTATGCTTTTTTTTATTTAGAACTTAGTAAGAGAGTACATCTATATATTAAATCGGAGAGCTGCCTCCCCCTGAAAAACACCTGTCATCGGCACGGGTTAATGTGTGTATACTATTTAAATTTATCTCTTCTCTGCTTTCATTTAACTGACTTTTCATTGTTGATTCTTCGATGGAAATTGTGTCATGTCTACTGTTTTCATGATTGAGACGATCCCGTCAGAACTATTTATAAGTTGTGGGGTATGTTTGTCTCAAAACGTTGATTTGACTAGTAATGCCTCTTGACATCCCAATCCCAATGTGAAGATCTGGAAACCCTATCCCTTTTAATTGGTATTTCATTCACGATCGACCGTTACCATTGACCATGGAGAGTCCCGTTGCAGGTCCACCACCGCCCGATCACCTCGGAGGAGAAGCGCGGCGGCAGCTCCCGCACGAACCCTGCCCCGTACGTCCGCATCATGCAGCTGATCGACGCCAAGTACTCGTCGGAGGAGCGCGGCGACCTCCTCGTTTTCCTCAGCGGGATGACGGAGATCACGACGGTCGCCGAGGCGGCCCGCGTCTACGCCCAGCAGACGCAGAAGTGGATCATCCTCACCCTGCACAGCACGCTCCCGCTCCATCAGCAGGATAAGGTGATGCACCTTCCGTTCGCTCTTTCGCGGAGTCCTCTCGATTTTCGGTCGTCGGTGAAATTCCCTTGGTGGATCTCCGTTTTGACTCTCGTTTCATTTGGTTTCAAAAATTTGATAACTTCTCATTTTCGGCAGTTGCTTTCGACTAGTGACCTCGTGCTTCCATTCTTGTTTTCTCACTTCCACCCAGAGTGTAAATGGGCAACTTTCCACCAGTTTTTAGTTATTTTCCCCCCCTTCAATTATATCATCTCTGCAGTCTTTGATGATGTGAAGAGTTGTCAGCAACCTGGACGGGTTTAGCTGCTGGAGAGTGCTGTAGACCTTACATCATGTTTTATACGTGTTGACATCTTTCCCTCTTTGGCTGCCATGATGCCCTGAGCATTTGGCGATGCGAAAGATCATAAGACTCAGACCCGAACGTAGAAACCTCTTTTAGTTAATGGTCCTTTGAGAATGCATATACTCCTATGGGGGAAAAAAAGGACTTTAGCTTAAAGGTTCCAGTTGGCTCGGGGTGTCCCCACTAGTGGCAGTATTAGATGAAAAAAAAAGAAACGTTGTCTATTCAAGTCATGCTGAATGGATTGGTGGATTTTCCCTAAGTATCTCAGAAACCATGAGGAGTTGATTGATGAAGTTAAGCTTAGTGGTCCTTGTTGTTCTGGTACTGTAACCATGCAAATAAGAATTCTCTTAAATGGTCATTAATTGGAAGAAAATAATCGGAAATCAAGTTAATTTTGAAATAGTTGAAATTCGTGAAAGCTACAGGATGTGAAATATTGAAATTTGGCTAATACGTAACTGTGAGACATGGAACGATCTCATCTGGAAATGTTTAACGCTTAAAGCCACCAAGAATACTGAATTGAGAGTTAAACTGCACTCGCAGATGAGGCTGTTGTGGCATAAGAGGCTGGATTCACGTTCTCCTGCCTTACTTCCCTAGTAACATCTCAGAGGGGATGCAATTCTCCCTAACAGATGAAGCACGGGACGATCTCATTTTGCTCGATGATGCTTGATGATGCTATGATACTATAATACTATAATACTTGCACTCGAAGGTGCAAAGCACATCGGGTCTTAAATCACGCTTCAGCTGTGAATATCAAAATCAACAAGTGATCTCGATCGACACGTTGCAATGGCGCGTCGGCAAGAAGCACCTAACATCGTCACGACCACACGTTTTGCAGGTATTCGACGTGGCGCCGGAGGGCGTGCGCAAGTGCATCATCTCCACCAACATCGCCGAGACGTCCGTGACGATCGACGGGATCCGGTTCGTGGCGGACTCGGGCCGGGTGAAGGAGATGAGCTACGACGCGACGAGCCACATGCAGCGACTGCAGGAGTTCCCCGTCAGCCGGGCCAGCGCCGAGCAGCGCAAGGGTCGAGCGGGTCTGTCTCTCCCCCTTCGCTCTCTGCTCTCTCGACCATACCCGACTTATGAAATGCGTATTGGACTGATTGATAGTTGATCGTAGAAGGGCATGATGTAAGTGGTGCTCGATTTGTCGCGGTGTGGGGGAGGAAAGGAAGTTGCTGAATCGACTCAATGACTAGGCATTGGGGGAAAGCAGCGATTTATCTGCTTATGTAATCACTGCCTTCTCTTCTGCCTGCTCATCACTTCCTGACGGATCAACCCTGTTTGAAAATATTGAAAACCATCATAAAAATACTCCATTGTATTTGCTTTACATGGTGGTGAAGGCTAGGCTTCCAAGCCTGGAGGTGTATTTCAACTCTGGCGATCTTTAGACTGAAGAACCTTTCTCAGGGGGTTTATTTAAATATGAATATTCCTAAATGTAATGGCATATTTAGCCTGTCTTTCAGGTTACTGTCATTCATAAAAAGAGCTTTCCTTCATAGAGCAGAAGTTGAAAGTGACGGGGATTCTGATGGTAGTTCCAGAAGTCATGGAGGCATCTACTAATTTAATTGGTAATCGACTTGGTTAGTAATCCCAAAGGGGCACGAAAACCGAGGAGCAGCAGGTTGTGTAGGTCAATGTCAAGTTTCCTTGAATTTTCGTTCCCATTACTCCAGATTTTGTCAAAACTGCTAGATGCCGTGCCGTTGATGTGTCGGATACGATATGACGTTGCCAGACTTTGGAATGTCCCCGCACTCCGTTTATTACCTGCAGAGGGAAAAATTGTACTCCATATGCCATTTGGGGCCCTGTCGCCGGTCTGACGGGGCCGTGAGGCCGGGTCGCGATCGCGAGAGACGCGGCACGTGTCGACTCGATCGGGAAGGCGGTTGCCGCGTGTCGCCGCAGTCGGCAAGAACGACGATGGCTCGTCTCCGCAGTCGACCGCCCCGTCACCGCAGGCCGAAATAATGGTGACGGAGGAGTTGCCACGTGATCCGGGTGCACGCGTCGTCCGCGCTCGTGTCCGACGTGACCATGGTGCACAGCCGCTCCCGCTTGCACTCCTTGTTGTCGCATTTCACGAACGTCTGCGAGTCTCGATGAACGAACCTGGAAAGGATGCGAAGAGCTGCTTGTTTCTCTATGTGCTCACAAGGAACTCAAGTGCAAAATAATTTTCTTCGTGATTGAAAGTGATTTTAAAGGGACTGTTTCTGGTTGTAAGTTACATCATCCAAGTGGTAATACTTTACATTTGGCTCTTGCAAAATGCAGCTTTACTATCAATAGTTATTTTCATCTTCCAAGTATAGTCCTGTTATTTTCCCTTTTTAAAACGTATTCTGCTGTAGGACTTCTGCCATGCCCCCATTTTTGTGAAAACTTATTGGACGTAATTGTCACTGATACGCTTTGGGATGGACTTAATGATGAGGAGTGGATTGCATGGAACTGACTTTAGCCAAATGGAACTTTAGACCTCCTTTAGCGCCGCTAAAGGAGGTTTCAAGCTCCATTAGACTAAGGTCAGTTTGATGCAATCCACCACATGTCGTTAAAATCAAGATGAAAAGACAAAATGGTTAAGACGAGGACTAGGGAGCCACATAGGCTTACATTCAGCTTTGCACATTGTACATGATACTGAGTGTGCATATCGGACGAAAGGAAAGAGGCTATCTATCCTGTCTAATAATTTGTCGGATTGATCTAGTGCGTCAAGGGTGAGGAGATGGAGAATTTCTCCGGCCGGATACATTACTATAACCTAAATGTATGCATATGTACCTAGTATAAGTACATGTAAATGCTCATTAATTTAATGATGTGTAACAGCACAAAGGTTACTATATGTGATTGTTTTTGGATGTCACTATTAAAGTCAGTGAATTCGGAATGACAGGAAATTTTTGGGTGATCATCGTGTCTTTTTGATGAGCTTTCGCGCCCTAAAATGTGCCTTCCCGTGTATAATTCAAAGACTCGATCCGACGAAAAAAACGCAGTCCTTCCCCATCGATCGCGAAGCCTTACCTGTAATGAGTCTGGAAATCGACTTCGTCGTAGATGAGGCGCTGGAGCCAGGTGTGCCACTCGGTCGGGGAGAGGCTAGGGAGGTAGTAGGCGGCTCGGGCGGAGTAGAGGGGGCGCCAGAAGGGCTGGTCGAACACGTTCGCGGAGAGCAGGTCCATGTACCAGGTTTCGTAGTCCAGGATCTCCTGTCGAGGGGATCGGGGGGTGAATCACGTGTGTCGCTCTTGCCTTCGGGAGTTCTTTTCTCGGGGCGGGTGATCGACTCTCGAGCCGATCATTGCGGTGCAGTATGGGCACGGTACGATTAGGACTCATCATTGTTAACAGGTGAAAGTGTCGAACAAGTCAATCGCATCATGCAAGAAAATAATATTTGAAAGGAAGTTGCGAGGGTGATGCCATGGCAGTGATCCAGAAGGATTAAGACCCCAGTGGTTCTCTTCGGAGACTGCTTAGTGGTTTAGTCGTGAGGAAGTCGATTCGTGCGTCTAATGCGGTCGAACGCAAACAGCGCTTACCCAAGTTTCGGTGTCGATGGTGTAGATGCGATACGCAGGGTTGAGGTCCGAGAAGGGGCTGACGCTAGGACCGATGTAGGCCACCTCCGTCGGATGCCCGTGCTCGTCGTAGAAGACCTGCACCTCGTCGTAGTGGGTGTGCCCGTAGAACATCCCCGTCACCGTCTCGTTGAACCTGGAGTCACGAAATCAGAATAGGGTCTGCGTGCGTGGTTCGATTCGGAGTTCTTCCTCGAAGGCGTCACCGGTTGGAACCTTTGGACGATCCGGCGAAAGTTGCGGCTCCACGTGGGGAGGCAGTCGGGGTAGCCGGGGGGGATGTGGCCGATGATGTGGACCTTGTCGCCTCGGGACTCGGCTTTTTGGAGTTCGTCGATGATCCATTGGAGCTCCGATGCGGGGTCGGGGATCTGGAGATAGTTCCACCTGGAAAGCAGAGTCGTTAAACGGATGCGAAACCGACATGGTTGCCGGTTCGAGCCGGTTCCTCACCAGTTGAGGTAGTAGCAGAAGTTTGTGTTGACGGAGAGGAGGGTGAGGCCCGGTAGAGGCGAGACGGAATAGAAACCCGCCCTGAGGATGTTGGAAGATTCCCCTTTTGGGACCTCGAAGAGGGACGGCCAGAGGCGGGCGGCTTCCTCGTACAGCCACGCCACACTGAACTCCTCCCGCCCTTCCATGCCCATCTCGGGTGGGGGGAACCTGACAGGCAGGGCAATCAGATCATTGTCGAGTGTCAAATGTTGCTGTCGGAGTTCACCGGTGGATATATTTGTCTGAGTGAACCGCGGTTTTCTTTTACGAGAACACCGAAGGCCGCAAAAGACCGTCCTCCCTCAGATTCAGAAAAAATATTGAGCTTTGAGATACGAAGGTGTCGCCCTAAAACAGGGATGTACACATGAGGCCCGCAGGCGGCTGACGACCCGAGTATTACAACCCTCCCTCCAGTCGTGAGTTTGCCGTCTTGAATAAGTATGCCTATATTCAAATATCTCCTCCTCTCCCATCTTTATTCCAATAACACGCGAGCCTCATGCTTTTCATAGTGCATACTAGTGCACCATCAAACGAATATGAAAGGTTTCAACTAAGTTCCGAACTATTTTACCATAACTGCAATTTTTTTTTTACCTTGTAATTTTAAAGTTCGAAAATCGCAGTGAACAAGCAATCTGTGCGCAGATCTTCGCCACATGAGCTATCAGCGCACGGGTTATCGTTTGCTTGCTTCACAGCTCGGGCAGACGTCGCGTTTTTCCCCCAAGCCACTGCTGATGTCCCGTCGACTTTTTAAGTCTGCACACCTCTGAAGGTGCATTACGGTTATATGCGAGATTTTGTTAGATTTTCCCTGCTTTATCCGAGTAAGGTTTGACGTAATTTCATGGGGCTTCAGTTAGAATGAAGGAGAAACTCACAGGTTGACGGGATGAACTTCGTGATTCCCGAGCGCCGGGTAGACGGGGATGTGAGGGAACGCAGCCCGGAGCTCCTCCACCGTATCCCGGAATTCCTTCTGGGCTTCATCCACCGTCGACTCCCAGATGTTGTGCGGGAGGATGTCGCCCGTCCAGTAAACCACCTCCACATCCTGACGAGTTCGAACGGAGCTCACTGTTATCATCTGACGACTGTGTCTGTCGCACGCTAGAGTCGGTTGAGAGACTTGGATCTTTGAATCAGTTCGTTGGCTTATTGTTCTGGGAGTCGTTGTCGAAGATTGAATCGTCTCTATGAGGTCAGTCGATTGTGGCAACCTTGAAAAGTTGCAGGATACGCGCATTGTTAAAAGTCACTAGTGACAGTATTCGCCTTAAAGTTGTGTAAATCTGTACTCCGGAGGAATACGTTTTCGTTTAGCTGAAGGATTTTGTTTGATTCCTAGTCAAATCCTTTTTTTAAATATTATGTTGCTCATGCGGTAATAGGTAATCGCATGTACAGCCCGTATACTCCCAGAAAGGACCAGGCGGCATTGACCCTCAATGGGGTGCCATTTTTTATAACCTGTCGAAGCCTGTCACGACCCAACACGAGATTGAATTGTCATTTTAAAAGTCGCATTTTGAGTGATACGTATATCGGGATGATCTGCCTCTCATCCCCAGCTTGAGCAGGACGCCATTGGATTCGCCTTCAGGCTGGAGTCACATTGTGAGAAGAGGAGAGGAAGGGATTGAGAGCTTGATTATGACAGAACGAGCTACTTCAGCTTCTTCCATCGGGCATAAAAGGGTTAATTGACAACAAAATTCATTCAAGCTTCGGTGATTTGGAGTTTTTCACCTATTGAAGGAGAAGGGCGGGTTTCTTCATGGCATTCTCACGCCAGCTTGTCGAGTAAGAATGGGTTTCGAGTGGGTCTCACGTTCACACTGGTCATGCGAGACTTGAAAGTCATTCCTGAGTCATTCCTGAGTCACTCATGAGTCACTCTTGGGCCATTCCTTTCCTCCGATCATTTATCCCTGGCTTCCTCATTCGACATCAACAGCATTCATTCAGCGTCAAAGCAGCTTAGACGCGGCTTTTCAGACTCGGTGGCTTGTGTAAGCGACATACCCTGAATTGGTGCATGAACCACGAGAAGACGAGGAGTCAGGCTTGTGCTAAACTGGCGGTGTAATCTCATGGGTTAACATACTTTACTCTTAAGAGGGTGCTGTAAAAATTTTTGGTGAAAAATGTTTTGGATTTTTGAAAAGAACTTCTTTGGACTTCAATGATTTTGCAATTGATGTTCCCATTGAAATCAAGGGAACGTAACAAATGACGTCTATTTCACGGTTCGAAGGAGAAAAAAAGCGCAATAACTATGATGGTGAGTTGTGTTGAGTTATGAGATTCTTGCGTTCGTGTTCAGCTACTTCCTGTTCGAAGTTGCGGTGCCAGAAAGTTTTTCACGATCGTTACCAGGGCTTTCGCCGAGGCCGACTTGTTGCCTGGATCTGCGTAGGTAGCGTACTGGGTGGGTGTGGACAGTAGATAGTTTACCTTGTGGGTGTCGTTGATGTGTTTGAGGAGGGAGTGAAGAGTCCTGATGGGAAGGTCGCAGTCTCGATAGTCCCCCCACTTTCCGGCCCGATCCTCTGGGTTGGTCGGCGTTCCATCCGATTTCCGACAGCAGAGGGGTCGCCCGCAGACCGCGTTCGCTCCCTCTCGGTATTCCGGGTCCACGTGGGTGTCGCTTATGTGGAGCACCTTCAGCGTCTTCCCTCGCTGCGTAACATGAGAGCATTCGACGTGAGTGACAGTAAACAGAAATATGAACTGCTGAAGGAGAGGGACAGGACGTCGAGAATATCAGAGAGAGGAGATGTGACAAGTCCCAATGGGATGGAACAGTATGTGCAACCTGCGGCTCGGTATTGGGTGATAGGATAACAGATAAAATAAGTTCCTCTGTGGCCCTAGGCCCATCACAGCTTTGCTCATCCCTTAGTAACTAGAAGTTAACTGAGTCCTTTCACTTTCTCCCCCTAATTATTCCGCACGCTGGCGCTGTTGTAAATGTCCCGAGGAAAGAGGTTCTCAATGACAAGGCAATTTTTTGGCGTTGGAATTTCCTGGGGGTGGGGAAGATCGGATGTCTATCAGCGCGACCTTTTGCCTTCATATCCTCTGAGGGGATTAAGGTTGCGCACCCCTGGGTAGAACGACGGCACACAGGAGAGTGAGGGTAAATGCGCACTCGAATAACAATGGAATCCACGATCGACTCTTCGGGTCCATCAATCATCTGAGCATTAGGGCTCAATTACCTGCTGGAGATGACTGCACTAGTTCCACTCCGCAGTAATTCACACAATCGAGGTAACGTAGGACGGGTGGACATGGTCACACGCTGTCAGAAACTAGCAGTTAAATTGTATTGTGATGGATAGAGAAAATGTTTGGGAGCGGAAGTACAGTTTTCCCTGTAAGAAAAGGTTGCGATTAACGAAGATGTAAAGTAAACAAAAGTACAGGTTAGAGTTATTAGTTATTCTAGATATCTATGGAGGCTATATTTAGGAGGCTGATGTGAAGGAATTAAAATAGTAGCTCTGATGCATGAATGTTTATGAGTTTTGAATGGAAATGGATCCCATAAGGTGTTCCCGGGTGGGGGTCTGGGGGTAAGAAATTCTACTTGATTCTGCAGCAAGTTACTTTATATTTTTCAAAATTTGCTGGTAATCTCATTTCAACTTCTGTAACAGACGATATACGAAATCAGTATTGAACAGATATTCCGTATGTCGGAGTCGGCCAGCTTCCGTATTATTGTAACTCGTAGAAAATGCAAGCCAGCCTGATATCACAGTAGGCAGAGAGCTTTTGCTCGGGATGGCCAGGGTGTCGGGGGTTGGATTCTTCCCATCGATTTCACGTTTTCACTCACTCCCTTTCCATCTTGACTGCCTTTTCTGCCTTATTAAGGGACTTTTCAAAATGGAAGTTAGAAAAGGCGTTTGAGTTTAAAGTTTTGAAGCACAGGGCGCAGGAAGCCGAGGTCTCACGTCGCCGCTCGCCTCTGAATATTGCCTGAGACTGCATGTAATAAATGTTGGTCACCAAACACCCCAGTCATCCATGCGAAAAGCTCCGTGGGTATGACCTCAAAAGTCGCGTTCAGGCGACCGGCTCGCCGTCTTTCCTGAGAAAATCCCAGCCAGGTAATTGTTTATGCATCCTGGAAGGGATAAAAGCACATTTGAGGTATTATCTTTTTTCCTCGGGGCGTTTTTCTGGGTCACGTGTGGATCAGGCAAGTTCTGCTGTTCTGGGAAATGCTGGAGCTGGTGTCTCTTTATCTCCAACTTTACCTCTCTTGTGCCAATCGTTCATCTATGATATTTCGGAGCTGCTAGTGCGATTCATGTCACGAATACATAATCGCCGAGGAAGAACCTCGTGGAGACCTTTCTTTCCTTATGGAATGCATTCATGCCTATACCCGTAGCGTTCCCCACTCTTCCGTCAAAATACTAATGTCTTCTCATCCATCCGTGCGTTAACCAGAGTCGTCCATTCACTAGCCAGTTTTTCAGGAGGCGAACGTGTTTAGGCGCCTCAGATAGCCGAAACGTCTGAATTTACTTGGGCGAGCTGGGACCAGGAGCGACTCCAGTATACTAGGCTGATCAAAAAGGAACGGAACTTTCGGTGCAGCTCAAATAACACTCGTCGAAATTGTTGGCCACTCTGCAGGCGTCAACTATGTTCACTTTGCAACTCATGGTAAAAATGTCAGTGGTCTTTCGTTTAAGGAACTCTGTTGGTGATAAAATGAAATTGCCATGGTTAGTAACTTTCGGCATATTTTACTGGAATGCCAGTGCTGGAACAAAGGGCAAAGATGAAGCTCTGAAAGTCGTTCACTGAAACTCTCGAACTTTTGCTACAAATGTACCTACGTACAGCAGGTACTTGCTGCAGATATCTGTGCGTACATCTTTTGCAAAGGCTCGAGAGTCTCAGTGAACGATTTTCAGAGCTTCATCTTTGCCCTTTGCTCCAGCACTGGCATTCCAGTAAAATCCGCCGAAAGTTTCTTACCATGGCAATTTCATTTTATCACCAACAGAGTTCCTTAAACGAAAGACCACTGACATTTTTACCATGAGTTGCAAAGTGAACATAGTTGACGCCTGCAGAGTGGCCAACAATTTCGACGAGTGTTATTTGAGCTGCAGCAAAATTTCCGTTCCTTTTTAATCAGCATAGTATCGCACCGGGTTGGTCATCGTAGTGCTCTAACTTTTCAAGATTCACGTATGGCATCTCGTCGGATATGCTACTCCATTATGGAGTCTCTATTACCGTTGTGAGGCTACTATAGAGAAAGTGGAAAGCTGTTTCATGAAACGACTTCCCATGTTTTCGTCATTGGAGGGACCTGCCGGACCAGAGTCTCCGGAATCTCGGCATCTACAATCTAGCCTGCTTTTTGTGTCCCGTATCATTCGTGGAAAATCGCGCCTGCCGCTTGATAAGCTTCTCCGCTTCGCTCCGAAAAGTGGGAATTCGTGGCAGTTGCCTGAAGCTTCGATGGTAGCGTCGAGGAAATGCAACCAGAGCCAGTGCCGTTTCTTCCCGAATGGTACCACTGTGGAAGTCACTATCGGATGAGATCACGCTAACGAGAGCATGTTCAGAAAAGCTCTTGGCGTTGAACGTTATCCATTTCCATGATGAATTGGTGTAAAACCGAATCTCTCGAAGCGCGAAGCAGCTGCCTTAGCTCCGAGCTCTTGGCCACGTACATTTTTCCCTCCGTATTCTCACTCATTAACGGTTTCCTCATCGTGTTACATCGAAGCAGCGGTTTCCAAAACGTGCAATGCTGCTCTATTTGACTGAGAATAAATGGATAGGACAAGCACGTCTAACATCGGCTTCGATGGTGCCCCCAGCAACCGAGAGCTAACCTACTAATGTGGTTTGGCCGATAATGTGGGACAGATGCCAGATGGCGAAACGAGTCTAGGGCTCTAAACCCAGGAATGAGTTTAATGAGAAACACCGAAGAGAACTCTTTGCGGTGGGGCGAGCGCTTGTGGTACGCCATCGATTTGAATTGTGAAGTATGACATGAATTCCAAGTGGACGGGGTGACCCTCTTCATTAACCGTAAGGAAATGAATGACCTGGGATGACGTGCTAGAAAAATGAGTCAGGAGAGAGAACCATCTGGTATGAGATCGTAAGCTAAATGTTGAGGGCTTACTGGATAGGGGATCTGGTAATAGTTGCCTCGGGTTTTGTTCCTGAGATTGAGAAGACTCTCGGTCAGGGCTTGTCGGATGAGATCGTCTAGATTCGTAGGCCATTTCATGCCCAGGGCTCGTCGTCGTCTCGTCCTTTTCCCCCCGTCTTCGTCCCGTCCCGAACCTAGGATCCCAGGGAAAATTAATTTCGATCATGCTAATCAATAGGAAGTGACCGGATTCCCGGGAAGAAAAGAAATCAGGTTGACAAAAGCCATGAACTAGGGCAATGGTGTGTGGGGTGATCATGATGCCGTGTCACTGCCGTGCAGGATTAATTGGCGAAGGTAAGAGAGAGAAAAAAAAAACGCAAACCGCATCGTCTGTCATGGAACGGTGAACCGCAATCCAATTACACTCCGATATTATCAAATACTTATATGGCGCCTATATGTCATGCTCCGGTGGCCGAAGGGAAGGAGAAAAAAAACACGAGTAGAAAAAAGATTTTGTGGGATGAGGTCAGGATACCGAACAAGCCGTTATCGGCCTGAAACGAGTTGCATGAAAAGGACGAACCTGTGTGGCAGGAATGCCGTCATTCCTGATGGTGCAGGGATCCCCGCAGGAATATCCTGCACTTAGGAGTTCTCCTTTCCATTGTCTTTTTTTTTATAACGTACGGCAAAGAAGGCGGATGTGGATAGAACTGACCGGGAATTTCGTTACTCGCTTAAAATTTGCCTTCGTCTCCCCCTTCAACAGTTCCTACGCTCCACTTCGGATCATGAAGAAATTATTTTTTCCACGGTGTTACGAAAAATTCTGCTCATCCGCATTTTAAAATTCCTGACCTCTTTGTATCACAAAAAATCGTAAGACGCGGAAGCTTCCATGCATGAAGATGCAGCATGTGGCGGACATGGCTTTTTGGAACGGAATGCTTGAGGGATTTTCCCCAACGGGACTCTTTCCCTCGACCTAGAACAACCCTCTTTGATGGTATCTACGAGAAACGAGAGAAAATCTTCAATGGGGATTTCCTGCGCTAAGTCCATGAAGGATAATCCTTTGGCAAGGGTATCGGGATTCTAGGCTCTGCGTGCATGGGACTGGCCTAAACTCCGAGGGGTTCCATTCGCTATGTTCCCTTATGCATAACGATTTATCATAGAATTCAGGACTGGAGTATTTCGTACTTTTCATGCGTGTAAGGCCAAAACGGGTTTTAAATCCGATAAAATATGATGAGTATCGATTCACGACGGGTTGAAAGATTCTTTTATACGATTGCATAGATGCTCATTAAATTTCACTGGCGCCCACTCTTATCCGTTGTCTTTTTTTCTGCGAAAACTAGTTGAAATAAGTCTAGAGTTGATAGGGACTGTTGAATGTGTATGGTCAGAAAATTTATTTACCCTGTGATCTAGTAAATAAAATAGGTCACTGTAATACCATCATTCATCGATTGAAGAGGAAGTGTCAGCTGTTGAACATGCAGTAATACAAATAAAAACTTTAATGTAGTGGAGGTGTTCAAAATTGCGCGTCGACGAAAGGAGAAGCAGGTTTTCGCTGCATCAAATTTTCACAAGCATTCGTGCGCTCGTTCGAAAGATTCAGGCATTTGAGAAGATGGCCTCTAATTTATTGGGTCAGCGTGTAAAATATATTGCCTTGTGACGCGGATGCAATTATTACGGTAATTCGAAAAAAAAGCCGCTGAAATATTTTCTTAGCGAGATTTGTCATGGCCGATAGCAAGCATGACTGCCGCGGGTCACGGCTTGGAAATCCAGTAGGGCTGAACCGATGCATCGGCAACCAACGGAATCGCCCGCCGATATGGCATATCTGCTCCAAGATTTTCACGCTGCAGGAAGGAGGCCCGCTACTGGACTGGGCGTGCCAAACTTATTTATTTTTTATTTATTTTTCTCCATCCCCCCCTCAACCCTCCTGGCCCCTCTACCCCTCCTCCTTCCCCTTTCCTTCTTTCACATGGATCCCCTAGTCTTCTCCATCCCTAAGATGAAACGAAAGAAGTAATGTTGATAGGGAGTCTCTCGAAATCCATATCGTAAATCCGTTTCGGTAAAGTATTGTGTACGATTTAGATCCTCTACGACCTCTGTCGAGGTCGCAATCGTTCTGTAGGCTAACTCGCACTCGAGGCTCGAAAACGAACGATACCTTCGAGAAAACATGTCCAGAATCCAATACTGATGCAAAAACCCGGCGAAACGAGAGAACTCGTTCGTTGGGTTTCCCTAGTCTCGTTTCCGAGAAAAGGAGCAGGTGCCTTCGGTCGCTTCAAGGCCAAATAAAAAAAAATCTAGTAGTTCTCAGATCTGCTTTCGGCTTCCTTTCTCGCAGTATGGAGTCATTGTAATAGATCTCCGAAGCTGGCGTGAAGGAAGTTCGTAAAACTTTGAAGAACATTGAATAATGATTCATTAGCTTTTCCTTCCCCGCATATTTGCTACAACTGGCATGGACACCGGCATTGGGCGATGTATGTGAAGTCGTTACCGGCCATCAGCCAAAGACCGCCATCGAGACAGCAGTAATATCCAGTATCTCACGGGAAAATAAAGAGTATTGTGACACGCGTAAGAACTGTCCATTTCTGCATCTCTCGGTCCTTGATCTTTGTAGTTCGGTACAATCCTTCAGTAACTGCCTTACGATGGCGCAAGAATACTAATGGATCAGGTCTTAAGGCATACCACAAGTGTATTTATGGCATTTATGCTATCATATATCAATATTTAATGATCACATGAGAGAATCTTCGCGAAGGAACCTTGAAAGCACCGTTAAGCATAGTAAGAGTGGCCTATAGGTTGGAACTCACTTGGAAGCGTAAGTGTCGATAGTTGGTCCTCATCGATGTGGCTCTGCTTGCCAATTCCAATGTGGCTTTGGTTGCCAATTTCAATGTGGCTATGGTTGTCAATTGTTTGTTCCGGGATGGAATTTGTTAGGATGTCATCGTCCGATCTGGCATCCTGTCCCGAGGCAGCCTTCGGTTGATTCTGTCCATTGGGTCGGACGAAGTCGTTGAGGAAGCTGAGGGTGCTGGCCATGCTGAAGAAGGCATCGCTGAGGTAGTACCACCACCCGTTGGCGGAGTCGGGGGCGTTCTCCCCTGGCAGCCGGATGGTCCAGTCGTAGCCAGTCCGGGAGTGGGTGCAGCGCTTGCCGATGAACGCGGAGCAGACCCTACGGGGGTTCAGGTTCATCCGGTTCCGTTGACGGAACACGTGGTATGCGATGGGCTGCAAGGGCACGTTCACGTCCACGTGAGAAGCAAATTAACGAAGAAAAGAATTAAGGGATAAAAAAAAAACCACGATCCTCTCGGTATAGAGAAAAAGTGGGAATGATGGAGTGTGGTAAATTCGGAAGTAAGACCTCAATGTGCTGGACTGTGAATTCCAATTTTGAGTAATTCATAATCATTTTTTCTTAGTTGGAGTCAATTACAGTGTGATGAAATCGGGGATGATACCATATTTCTCTGGAACCGGAATTAGAATGGAAATTTTCTTTTCAGTAAATCCGGAATTGCAGTTAGAATTGGAATCGCCCGTAAATCTTCGATTGCATCTTTACTCCAATTCCAAGTCATACATTGTTGAGTTCAGACTTCTCTGAAATGCAGTGGGATCGAGTAGTCATTTTTTGAAAGCATGGATTTGACAGTGAAACGGATTGAAGCCTGCTCTTTCGTCATACCATTGGCCGAGGCAGTGATCAACATTTACGTTTAGTAACCTGGCAAATGCTGCCAGCAAACGCGGTCTGAATTTTCAAGTGGAATTTTGACAAGACACGTACCATTTGCGTCTTGACGCCACCTTCGCAGACGACAGGATCCGCGAGTCGGAGACTCACGCACAACTTGATGAGCCTTCGCGTGACAAAATCCAAAGATTTCCGGTCGATGTCCCACAACAGGCTCTGTCCTCCCAAGGAGCACAGGAAGCACATCCCCATCTACACACGCGGAAAAAATTAGGCTTTTCAACTAAGTCCATTTGTGCCAGATGGGCTTAGTCCAAACTAATTTGATAATGGGCAACTGCGAAACTCGGCTTACCTGGGGAAGTCTTATTCTCAAAGACGCATGTTAAAATGAGATCAGAATAACATTGGCTCTGGCATTTTGCGCTCATACACGCAGACGTCCATTGAAAAATCAGTCAAGTGAAATGGATCCAGTGTATGCGCCTCGTTGAAGACGCTAATTAAACTTTCTGTCTCGTTACCCTTAGAGGATTGCTCGTTAAAAGTAGGCAAATTGATTTCTCGCCAGAAAAAAAAATCGACGGAAAGACTCGAAGATTTACCCGTTGAAGGTAGGCAAGGATGGCGGAGGAGTCGTGACCGTGGGGATTGTTCCTGTTGCTGATCCCAAGCCGATACTTGAATATGTTGGCGCTCGTCATGTCTTCGGGGACGACATAGGGTTCCATGTCGTTCCACGTAACCATCACGTCGTCCACCGGCGTATACGTCGGCTCTCGGGCCACCCGCAGCATATCTGTTCCCAAAATGTCTATTTTTTAATTGCTCATTTTTCATTGTTCAATTTGTAGTAATTTTCTATTCATGTCGGAAATTGGAAACAAAAATCCCCAAAATTCCAGTTGGATTCTAAGGTCCAGTTCCAAATTCTAGTAATTTATTTTTTCTTCATTCCAAGAATTGACAGTTACTCACAAGTATGCGGGCAACTGCATTTTTTTTTAACGGCATTTAGAACCCATTTGTTGAAAGGTTAACACAGGAATTGAAACAGCGTAAAACTGGATTCAAAAACAGGATAGGACGTGAAAATTGACAAATAGGAGTTCATTCCTTTTTTCAATTAATAGTTCTCATGTATACCTAATTTTGCTAATACTAAATACTTGTTTGTAGACCCTAAATTATCTTGACTTATTTTGAATTTATGTGGTCTGATATATATATATTTAGATTTCTGAGGTGCAGAGGTTTTCTAGATGTCCGAGTGCATTCTGTTTTTGTAGTTGAGAACAGTGACACGGGAAAAACTGGAATGGAAATACGTCAAACAATTATTTGTAGGAAACGGTGAAACTGGAAAAAAAAAAAAAACATGTTATTTGCAGTGGCAGCGGTAGCAACGAGTATAATTCTATGGTAGGTCGAGTTTCCGCTCCTCTGGTTGCGTGGGACAAATGACCCCCTTAACTCGTCTGGTTGCGTCTCGATTGCACGAATCACTTCTACATATGACAGACCTTTCAGTTCAAGGGTCACATCACGAGGGAAAAAAAGAATTATTCCCGGGATTCCAGGGAGCGAAAACACTATGAGGGGAAAATCCGACTTGTCAGAAATGAGGCTGGGTGAGGAGAGCGAATGCCATCCCGTTTCACCGTAGCTCCTTCAATACGTGATTGTATTATGATTCCGATTCAACTCTAATATCTGATCGCGTGTTGTGAGAGCTATGATTCCACACGAGATGTTAGAGCAGCAGAGAAGCACAGTTTCCAGGTTCTCATTTCTTGCAAGTTGGAAGTTGGACTTCGCGATCCCTCGGTATTTCTCCCTTCTCCCCCATTTTCTCGCGCAAATTAAAAAATTCTACGAATTCCTCACCCAAAGACGGTCCTCAGCCACTCCTCGTCTAGAGGAAACCGATCTGACGATTTTTCCCCATTCGAGGTGTTGTGCATAATCCCATGACGGGACGTGCACAAAGCCCCTGAGTTCCGTTCATCTTTTATTGTGACAGCGTGATTCCTGCCCCATCACGAGATCTGAGGATGAGGTCCGGGAGGCGATAACAGAGCCACGTCACGCCCGTTTCTGTCTCTCCGTTATAGATAATCGGGCAGAATATTTTGTAGGGCATATCTAATGGGGAGGAGAGAGAAGCGTAACCGGGCACAGTTGACCGGTTATGCGGCAGAAACCGGTTCTGCTCTCCCCCGGATTATGAAGGCATTTTCCTGCTTATTTCTTCCTCACCTTGCTAGCGAACAGCCTCGGAAATTTTATCGCCCATCATTCATTGATCTTGTATCGTTCCGATTGTCTTTTTTGCGGTATGAATCGTAATTGTCGGTCATCCCTTTCATTTCTAAATTACTCGATGGCATCGAAGGCTGCAATAACAGCCTACGTCTATTTTACGTTGATACTTGATGGTTCTTCTTCACCTCTTTGCGGCAGAAAAAAGGGATTATACTATTCCACAGCCTGCTATTGGAAAAATCTGTCCCGTCACTTTTTGGCCGACGAGGCGAAGGCTGAGAGGAACGCTCGATTGTATTTCCATCTCTGTCACACGGACGCTTACGAAGCAGGTCGGTCGTCACGACGTCGCAAAATACGCGGTCGAAAGTCGCGCAAAAGGCATTTATCAAAAACCGTACGCTGTGTCAAACTGCAGGGAAAGCACTCCCAGACGGAGTCCGTCGCAAGGATTTCGATCGCATTACGAATACGTGGGTAGGGGTGATGCGATCGACCGCTTTCAGTAATCGGGAATGATGCCGGAAGTTGACCCAGAGGAAGGATTTTCGTGCTAGCCGGGAGATGGCAACACTGCAGCTGGGAAGGTAATTTAACAATAGTCTTGTCATGAGGTTGCACCCCCATCGAAACAAGCAACGGGGAAACCAGCAGGAGTCTTTCGATAGAAGCATCATCGTGCCCATCAGTCAACGTCATCTCGTGACAGCTGTCGTCGTGCCTGGCTGGGAAAGTGCTCATCTCACGAGGTGAAATGACCCGCCCCCCCCCCCCGTTTTGGTGTCCGTGGCAATCGCCGGAACGGCTTTGGTCGCACGGCATTTTGTGGGTTCCGCTTTATTGGGTCATCGGTTAATGAGGGCAGCCAGTTCTATAGGGGCATTTTGTCAGGGACGGAATCGATAAGGTAATGGAAGGTAAGTTCGCACTATCGGGGCAGCCGCTATAGGGACAAATCGACCTGGAACCGAAGTGTCCCGATAAAGCGGGATCCACGGTACATGTAAAAAAAAGTTGATATCGCCTCAGAAGACTTTAGTCGAACGCAACTTCGTCGAATGTGCGATTCCTCGAAATGAATCGCATGTATTTCAAGTGTAATTCATCGAATAGCAATTTGTTTATAGTCAAAAACGATGCGATGTTATCCGTAGAACATGTTATGCTGAGTCTTACGTGCCGAGAATAACCAGGAGACAGGCTTATTGACGATGAAAGGGTTGAAGGGTTGAAGGGTTGAGACAGGCAGACAGAAGCCTTCAATTAGGGCGACGGTCTCGAGATCGTGCAAGGAAATCTTTCCCTTCGCAAAGGTGAATGAGGAAGGTCGTAAGGAGCACCTTAACCCCGGAACTGAACATCGCGGTGTCTGATGTCTCGAGGAGCTTTCTGCGTGGTTATGCAATGAGGACGGAAAGTCGACGAGGGGAAATGGGAACGAAGTCGTGTAATTATGAGGATTTATAATAATTACAAAGTCCCTTGGGGTCTCTGATAACCCAGTGCCCGGTTCCAAGGTGAATGTGAATTGCATTTAAATACAATTTAATTAGAATGTGCAACGAGGAAACGCAGCGAGGTTTCGGTCAATTTCCTCGGGAAGAAAACTGGTAGCGTATAAATTGTATTCGGCGAGATTCACGAAGCGAAAAATCTATGTATTTCCCGATTCGCATTCGGTGATATCCATGCGATTGAATTACTATGAAAACAGCCCACGTTCTTATCCGATGAGCTGCGATCTTACCATGTAGATTTATTAAATTGATTTTTTTTATATAAAGAACGTAACATTAGTCGATTCCTTCCCTGTGTATGTACTGCTCACCATCGACGGTTCCGACTCTCTGAACGTGGCGCATCATGATGCGTTTATGCGCAATTTAAGCCGTTCGAGGGTTCATTTTCTGGTTGATGCACGCTACTGACCAACCCCCTCCCCCTCCATTCCTTCCTTCCTGATCGGCCCGCAGTGCAATCAGCAAAGCACTGCTCGAGTACGGAGCAACTAGTTTTGCGTTTATGACCACTTCACTGCACCTGTCGAGAACCGATGTCGTCGTTGCAGGTCCGTGACCGATTGCGTCCATCGAAGTGTCCAAGAACTTTAATTCTCGTGTTAAATTGCCCTTCATAAAACCGGTCGATCTACGGTAATATACTAATATAATTCATCTCACTCATTTTGGGTCGTTGAACTCTGTTCTCTCGAGAAACGAGAGAGAGAAAGAGTCTTGTGCGACTGAGGATGCAGTCCGTTCCGTGTTCGATGTTCGCAAATTTCGCATTTTGGACTTTTTTTCCCGAGACTACATCGGAAAACGATTCGGTTCGGAAGCCTTTCTCGCTTGCCAGAGATGTCGGAAGATGTTTCATCGGCCCGTACTCCGAATCTGGCTTTGAATTCTACACGGGGAAGTTCATTTCTTGCTGGCCATCGGAGACCCGTTACGATTTCGATTCCTTACGTGAGAAAAGCCGTAAATCTACGTTCCATAATACGCCCTGGCAACCGCGACCACTTCTCTGCAATAATTTTGATAAATGGAGAGGGACACGAAGCAAGCCCTGAATTTCCCGAAATGAGCCTCCAGGACGCTTCCATCTGCGTGCATCCGAACGATCGACCCGAATCGGACTCCATTTCGTGCCGCGTTGAACAGGATGAACTCACGGTAGATAGAGCCGGCGGTGACGAGGCCCAAGGTGACGATCCCCCACGAGGCCATGCCTTAACGTCCGTCCCGATCCCTGGATGTCACACTGTCCCTCCTGGGAATCCCCTCCTGACATCCCTGCGTGGAGGGGGAAGAAAACCAGGTGAACGATCGCGATGTATGGACGTGACACGTGTCTTCTCTCCCCCCGCGTGCGTTCTGTTTGTCCGTCGAGCCGCCCGGAAAATAATCCCGAATATTGTTTTCTCTCGTCCCCGCGACGCTTGTTTGCCTTTTCCTAGCTATTCCCAACCGTCGAGGAGTCTGTTAAAAGCGTGAGAGTGTCGTCCGCGGGACGTCGTGGAGTCTGTGTCGATGGGGTTCAGCGAAGCCGGATGGGGCGTGTTTGTTAGCTAACTTCACCGTTAAATTCCCTCTAAAGTGCATGATTCCCTCAATATGTTCCCTGCCGTCACATGGCATGTTTCTCTCGAGTCATGGGGAAGTCATCATTGCGGTTCCCGGTCACGCTCTACGTCTTTCATCGTCGAAGGCGCGCCTCCGCGATCGTTCTTCTCTGAATCGAACCGGGGCCCCGTCCATCAACGATGCGATGTTCATGCACTCGAGTCACGTCTCACGAGTCCTCGTATCAAGGTCGTCCTTGATTCGGGATTGCCACAATTCGTTATTCGTCTGGGCGAAGTTGTGTATTTTTCCGCGTCTGTCAGAAAATTAGGAGTCACGTTCAGACCCGCATTTAGAAATTAATTCTTTTATTTCCTGGAAAAAGTTTTAAAGTGCATCTTCGATCTAATGCTCACTCGAAAGAACATATCGATCGTTTCGGAAATAGCCTACGATCATCGACGATCGAACGGGAAAGCAGGCGGACGACACACCTCCTCACCGCCATCGATGCACACGAGCGCGACACGACGACCCAGCCGACACGCGAACGAGCCACTACCGGACGAGGCGAGCCACTCACTGCGACAGAAGGAAGGTGCGGGGAGAGAGGATCTCCATCGGCTGACGGAGCGGGGCGACCGCCACTGACTGCACTGACCGCCGTGCTCCTCCCTCATCCCTCCATCCCGTTCCCGTTGCTCTCGATCGTACGACCGAGCAGGATGCCTCGTCTGCCGGATCCATTCTCTGTTCTCCCCTCCCCCCGAGGAAACGACCGCCGCTCGTCGTTGGAATTCCGCTCCCCTCCGTAGCCTAGATTTTGTCAGCCGCCCATGGCGTGGCCGAATCGGTTCCACCGTCCGACTTCCACGCGGGAGGACCGGGTTCGGTCCCGGTCTCCGGCACACGGCCTTTTCTTTCAAATTTTCGATTTTTAACTGATACTTTGTGCGCAACTTTCTGTGACGACTCCTTCATATCCGAGGTCTCATTCCATCGAATTCCTCCGGTTCATCACTCTGCTTGTAATGATTATTTCGCGTGTAGCGGTGGCATCCGAGCGTGACAATCCTGTCACACTCGAATGATGACTCGGCCTTTTATTTTTTTTTCCTTTTCGCACGCCGTCACGTGTGGTAATCCCCCTCTCACGACGGACGGCGATTAGCATTCCATCGGCCTTGACCGGTTTTATGTTGGTCATTCGTGATTCGAAACCTCACTTCACGATTGCAGAGGCGGTGGGTCCCCGTCGCGAAAATAACGGGGAGACCCATCTTCTTTGTTTCTGTCCCGTTTTTTATTTTGTTTTGATGCCGTGCGTGCCGGTAAACAAGTCCACCCCTCGCTTCTAATTTTATTTTCCTTCTCGCACCTGAGGAATTAATCATCGTGCCCTTCGTCTGATCGCGAACGCGAAATTTTGTGCCCCAGGTCGAACCGGTCCCGGTGTCTGCTACCGTCTGTACAGCGAAGAGGAATGGAGGAATTTCGCAGCTTATTCGACCCCGGAAATCCAGAGGGTTCCCCTGGAATCCCTGGTGCTTCAGATGATTTCCCTGGGGCTCCCGGATCCCCGGAAATTCCCATTCATTCAGCCGCCCCCGCCCGAGAGCCTGGAGCACGCCATCAACAGCCTCAAGGATCACGTCTGTCTTCCGCCCTTCCCTTTATTTCGTCTTATTTATTACCTATAAAGTGTAATTATGACCTATAAGGTGTAATTTTCCATTGTTCTCTCTTACAGTACTAGAGTTGTTTATATTTTGCCTTCTGCGTGGGGCGGTGAAAAAGTAATGCAAGTTTTCTCGTGAATCAGTTATTTAGAAATGAAACGACATAAAACATGGTTCGTTCCTCGATGTAATCCTCCTCCTTTCAATAATTCCATTGCTCGACTCAGCATTGACGGTGCAACTCTTTTGGGTGTTTATTAAACTCAATGTCTAGTCGATCGATAGCTGACCGTTCACGATTAATTTTAGACCGATAACCGTGCAAAGCCACTCGAGGGTAGATCTAGAGTATGGGGTTGATGGGGGAACGATTCCACCTGCAGTTCCTGGACCGCCTCAGTTCCGACTCTGTGACGTGTCGTGTTCGCGTCTGGGTCGGGGCGCTTGAGGCAGCCGGTGGAAGAGGAGGAGGTTTACAAAAAGTATTGGGACTGGTTCTGCGACTTCCTTATTCTTTCGTCGGCAGATGTGATGTCTCGCGTTGGGTCTTGGGCAAACTTTATTGCTTACTCGTCTTCATTTGAATTTTTTAAGGGATTGTTTTTATGCACGCTGACTCACTTGCCAAAAACGAGTGGCGAATCTAAACGAACCCGAGCGGGAATCGAGGGCGCCGTGGAAATTCTTCGTGAAATTGGGAGGATGCACCCGATATGTTTGCGGTTTGTCATGTGCTGTTACTTTAAGAGCAGATGCTTCGGACAGCAGGACGTAATTCGACATGCACGAACGGTTAAAAAAAGGGCAGGTCATCGGAGGAGACGCAAGATCCGATCGGCTGTAAGTATGGGTTGAGAAGAGAGGCAAAATTTAGGAAGTTCAGTGATTTATGACGCTTGAAAACCTGGACTTTCTAATGGTGGCTTTCGGCGCACTTCTCGTCGGTGTTCCACTCCCCAGTTGAAATCGATGATTGCCCAGATCTTGTTTTCTGTGAATCGTTGCGTCACTCGAATGCCTCCAAAATCCAGGAGTTTGACACGTTTCCCCGCTACTACGCAAAAATTAATAACACTTAAAAGAGACTATGTAGAAAAAAATTGCCAAAAAAAAGATTCAAATGAAAATCAGTTTGCAATGTATTTTCGCCATGCCCTCACCCAATTCAGGATATTATATGAAAAACTTGAATTACTTTCCCGGGGGTGTTGTTTCGTTGTCGTTATGTCACTCTACATCCAAGCTTTATGTTCCGTTCGCGGTTTCTTCTTTTTTATTTTTGCCGTCTCGTTTGTTTGAGGATCCGTGTCGTGATATCGTTGCATGTGGTGCCCCCCCCCGCCTCTGTACAGGGTGCGCTGGACGAGGCGGAAGGCCTGACGACGATGGGACGGATGCTGTCTCAACTGCCGATCGACGTCACCCTCGGGAAGCTCCTGGTGAACGGGAGCGTGATGGAGGTGAGGGAGCCGGTGCTCTCCCTCGCGGCCCTCCTCGCCGTCCAGAGCCCACTCACCAACAAGGCCTACCGGGACTCGCATGCTCAGGTGAGTGTCGGGGGTCGGTCGGGTTGCCGTGGAGCGGTGTTGGTTCGCTCCGGAAATTTGGGTTTCGTGGTCGTCCTCGTCTCGTCGACTGAAATTGCCAGACATTTATTCGTGTTTTAGTCTCTCGGTGTGACGGGAATTCTCGTCGTTCAATTTGCATCACCCTCCTGGGCCTGTTCCACGGTAGATTTACTAGTTACACATACAAGTGAAAAGTACTTGCAAGGGTCGTGTCTACTTGTTTCTCTTCCAACGGGTCCCGCTGACCCTTCACACGACCCTTGTAAATACTTGACACCAGTATCTTTTACGTCTGTGGAACAGGCCCCTGGCCGTCCATTTGTCTCAATTTTCGTCGACGAAATTAACGCTGCCGTAGAGAAGAAATGGGTCAATGGAGTAAGAGTTGTAGGTTGGCACTTGGGATTTCTCTTTGCGAGGGATGATTTTACGTCCTGGCCCATGGAGACACTGACCCGAGGGGGAGAAAAAGTAATAGCAAGGACAAGGTTTGGATTATCTTCCGTTTGAGCCCGTCACTCTGTCCGCATTTACAGGGTGGGCCAAAAAAAAACTTGGGTTATCTTCATCACTTCACAGCACTGGTCTCCAAGAGTTTGCTAAAATTATAATTGTGCCTCCAAGAAGAACATTCATTTAGCTTTCGAATGATGTCAACAAAATAAAGATTTGTGGCCTAAATACCAAGCAGTTAGATGAAGAGTAGAAGAGGTGGCGCTGGAAAAGTTGGTGCCATACTGCGATTTCAGCCAGTGCATGCAAGAGGTCGCATTCTCGCCATAAACGAAAGAATGGACGTCACCTGGAGCACATCCCATGTTTTACTGGTAAGTGCACTTTTCAAGCACTACCTCTGTTACATCGAGCGTAACTGCATCGGAATGACAAATCGGATCTGAAATCTTTTGACATCAGTGGAAAGCTAAATGAATGTTCTTCATGGAGGCACAATTATAATTTTAGCAAACTCTTGGAGACCAGTGCTGTGAAGTGATGAAGATAACCCAAGTTTTTTTTTTTTTTACCCACCCTGTAGAAGCCGAGGAAAGAGCGAACGGTCAGACGGGAATCGATCCATCGCCTCCGGTCTCCATGCCCCGATTCGACGCCGAGACCATTAATTATTCGCTCGAGAGGCCGAGGTCGCCGGGAGGCCAGAAGGAGTTGTGGGCCCCAGAAGCAGCGGTGGGCCCCAGAAGCGGTGGTGGGCCCCGGCGTCACTGACCCGAGTCGGCCGGAGCGTATCGAAAGGCCGTTCCGTGCGCGGACGGCATGGAGCCCTGAGATCCATTAGGCTTTTTCTCCTTTTTATTTGACGGGTAACGGGCGTCGACGTCGACGCACGGAGTCATCGCTCCGTCTATTCCGGGAGGTCCGAGAGGCGATTGATTTTTTTTCGATGGCGATTTAAAAATTTATTCTAGGTCAATCGAGCCCCGAAATCGGCAGCCCGCACGGTTTTCGAGTCTCTTCGGTTGCTTCCGCTTCGTTTCGTCCGCGAGGGAGACGTTTTTCGGTCGAACCCTCATTTCCTTTCGGGTTTTATGTTCTCGTTCGGTCCGGAGAGTGACTTGCAGATACTCTCCATGATCGTGCAGGCCGGCATTGCAAACACGGCGAGGTGGAGTGTTCAAGGTCGGCGGGGAGAAAGTAGTATGCCATCTGGATCGCACGGAGCATCGCGTCTGCTTCGTGAAGAGAGGCCGGGGGTGGGACGGAACGGGCCGGGGAGGGCGTGGGTGACGCCTGTGCTTCAAGTATCGCGTCCTCCTTTGGGAGGCTTTTCGCGGGGAAACATTTTTTTTCCGATGTTACGTGTTGTGAGATGCTGGGGAAGGGAGGGGGGATGGCGTCTGCGATGGGGAACGCGGACTGGAACTAGACTGCATAACTTTGCGACGTTGAGATTCTGTCGTCGCCGGATCCTCTCACGTCACCGTTCCTTGCGCCTTTCGATCCGTCTGCCTCGGGGCTCTTCCCCGGCGGTACGGAACCGGTATCGGACCGCATTCGAGCCCTCGTTCCCGATCGTCTCCGATGGCTTCGACCACGAGGAGGCCGAGGATTGAGGCCCAGCGAGGCTTCGTGGCATCGCTGCGACCTCCCAAGAGAGATATCGTACGCGCGATCCGTGCTTTTCTCCGGGTCGGTCGCGGTGCCGAGTGGCAGAACCTCTCTCGTGGACGTCGCTCCCTTGCGCTTCGGTCGTACATGTAGTCTGTTCTGGTCCGTCGATGATAGGTGCACTCGCAAGATGGCTCACCGGTACCCATCGCGGCAGTACCGTGGAGTAGGAGGGAGTCGGCCGAATGGATTTATGAGTTGAATTTTTGGATCGAGAATTCCGGACGGGGGGGGGGGGGGAGATTGGGCGAAGTTTTTTAGAATAAATTTTTCACATCGTGAGGCAGCCTTTATGCCTATTAAGTAGTACGGTAGTACCAGTATTGCTAATATTAATAACAGCACTAATATTTCCGACAGTTTCACGAACGGAGGGTATCGACGATGGTGCGTTTACATTAATACCGTCGAATTTTCAACGGCAGGAAACAATGGATAAGATTCACTCTGTGAAAAGCAAAAACAACCTAGATGGTTCCATCTGCCTGGCCAAGCCGTGGATGAACGGCCTACACTGGGGTCACGAACAGCGCACTGCTTAGCAAAGAGAAAGGATAACCCCAGCGGTTGCTCTCCGCCCCGCCCCGCCCCGCCCTGTCAACCGGTGGAAACCGTCTGCGTGTGCACTTCGCCTCTCCTCTGTTTAATCTGTTGAGGAGGGAGTTTGACGTTTCGATGTTCGATGCATTACTGCCCTTCCCGAGGATGAGAAAGCGCGAAGCTCGAAACCGTACATGTGCGGTCGAACTCAACAGATTAATCATCCTCGCTCCCTTGCTCTCTTCGTGTGCTTGCAATTCCTGGGGCCGATTGCACCGCATTTGCCTTTAGAGGCATGGATTCATGCAGCGATTTTCATGCCCATCTTGCTGTTGAAAAGTTCTCGTCTCGCTTTCGATGCGCTATTTTTCAGTGCTACTCCAATGAAATGATTCAATGTGGAGTCAAAATGATGCATGAACTTGATATTGTATAAGCTGAACGTGTTGAAAGTACCCCTACGTGGCATCTCTTATGAAGAAATTAAGGGATGGAATGACTGGAATCATACTTAAAAGACTAGATCAAAGTTTAACTTCATCTTGGGGTCGGTGTGAGACAGTGGTGTAACCCAAGGATCGCCGTGATCGCGACACGTAATTTCGAGCATCGAACGGGAAAAAAGGATTATGTCAAGTAAGTCAGGGGTGGCGCTCTCATTTCTTTCGTGGAATGGGATATCAAATGTCACGATTTAGCATCCCTTACTGCACAAAGCAGCCCCGAGGAAGCGCCCGACTCTCCCGAGACGACGAGAGACGAATTCTAAGCTGTCGTTCGCCCCGCAGACGCTTCGGGCGAGCCTGGAGTCGGACCACGGAGACCCCCTCACTCTCCTCAACATCTACTGCGAGTGGCTGGAGGGGAAGGGGGACGGCAAGGAGGGGAGGGACAGCCGACGCTGGTGTCGTGACCGGGGCGTCGAGGAGCAGCGTCTCTACGAGGTCACAAAGCTCCGGCAGCAGTTCCAGGACCTCCTCCAGGTGAGAGACTCGTTGCCGAGTGTTGCTGGGGTTTTCATCGTGCGAGCATTCTGGAAGTCGGTGTCCGTCTCGATGAACGTCCGGGCGATGAACGTCTTTCTCTGGCCCTCGATCGACTCGGAATGCTACCATGAGATCAGGATTGCGATGTGTATGAAAAGCCTCCGTTTCTACGTGCGGGAACCCGATGGAATACGCAGATTAATTACACAGTACTTTGACAAGCACCACATCAAAACAGCACTTGTCCTTGATTGCTCAATTTTAGACTATAACAATGTGATTTTAGTCAGTTTAACAAAGAGGAAAATGGTATCTAAGGAACAACACAGACGACTCGGCAGGTATTCTCCATCGGGTAATTTTCCCCCAGGTTTTCATGCTCACTGTGCATAACGATATGCGATATCTTCATGTGGGGTTTATATTCGCTGGAGGTATATGCGGTGGTATCGGTGTAGCGTGTAACGGGCAGATTGAAGGCCACCGCAAATCACTTTCAATGTTATCAGCTCTTGTGGTGGTCAACATGTTTTTTTTTTCTACTCCTTTCCCGAGGAAAAAAAAACCTCCTGTTTCCCTGTGCAAGCTTCAGTTCAGCTTCTCTCGTGCTATTGCATCGGATGAGGAAAAATTTGGGGCACTTGCTCGTGTTCCCTCGCTTTATTCCTGTTTAAGAGAGACACGTAAAATCTGATGAGTTGCCAATGTCGCTTATGTTGTGGTGCTTCTTCTGTCGCAAGTGTGATCGTCTAGCGAGGGAGCTGCTTCACCTTTTGTCGATTATTCGGTCTATCACACGGGAAGTCCGCATGTGTTGCGATCGAGTCGTTCATGGCGTTCGTAGCTTCTTGGTTGCCAAATAATTTTGAAAGTGCCACTCGGGGTAACATGAACAATGCGAACTACTACTATTTAATCCTATTTCAGATACTGATACATTTTTGATAAACCCTATAACAAGCCAATAGAAGGCTTTAAAAAAATGCAAGACCAATTTCCCATGGTTCCATAAGAATTATGCTGGGACCACTGACTAGGATTGCTTATTCTGCCGGGAATATATATTGACTTGGAAAGTATTGCTTACCTGTGTGGAACCCAAATAGATAGTTTTTTCATTTGGATGGTTTGACTGGTTTGGATGGTTCAGGGACACATTTGCATAGCAAAATATCCTGTTTTCATTGTTTGCTTATGTTAACCACTTCATTGCCCATTTTACCCCGAACAGTCGGGGGAATAATTCTTTTCACATCCCACGCTAAACGCCATTTACATGCCCATATTCCCCCGACGTACGCTATCGTTTAAAAGCTAATTGAAATTGATATGCAAGTTGCCGTCATCACGGCACGTGAAAAGGGGAATTCCAGAACAGAAGAGTTATAGACTAACTGGAAAACGTCCAGAGAACAGGGAGTTTTTCCTCGAAAAGGAATGGCATAGGGGCGTGATGGAGCGACGGGTCGACGAGGTCACATATACCGACTGCATGCGACTTCCACAGGACAGTGGACTGGTGGACCGGTTGGGCCGGATGCCCGAATCGAGCGAGGAGCGGAGAATCCGATACGGGGAGCTGAAGCAGCTGAGGAGCATGAAGCGCAAGTTCCACGAGACGGGGGGCAGGCGACGGAAAGTGCTCCGTCCGGGCAGGGACGACGTGGAGGACGACGACGACGAGGGTGGGGGCGGGGGCGATCGGGGCGCATCCCGAGAGGACGAGGTGGACATTCGGGATGTGGAGTTTCGCATCCGCAACGACGCCACGCACGTTCGGGTCCGTTCCGTTTTTCTTTAATAATGTATATGAAGATATTCCCGATGTCATTACCTTATCGTAACATGATACGTGACGTTAGGCCCTTTCGAGTAAAACCCGCATCCGGAGCTTCCAAGACATGACCATCGTGAAGATGGTGTTAGTGAGCGCCTTGTACCCGCAAGTCGCCGTCCCCGACGACCACAACTCCTACAGGGTGAGAACGGGATCCTTCTTGCCTGTGCATCGTGTTTTTCACATTTTAAATACAAGCTCGTGGTCTGGTGGTATGCATTTTGATCCCTTTCAGCCGGGGTCGGACCAAGTGTATCACACAAAGGGGAAAGCCTTCACCGTCCTCCATCCGATGGGGAAGCTGGCCAACGACCCGCAGGTGCTCCAGATTACCGAAGCGGACATCCTGGACTTCCCCGGGTTCGCTCGTCGGAATCCCGTCTCCACCAAGCACCAGCTTCTGCTTTACGTGTACGTAATTTTTTTTCTTTTACCTCCATGTTGTGACTCTCACGTCATTTGAATCGTGCGTGCATCTACGTTGATTTCCACGGTGAAACTCAACACGGCATCAGAAATGCGTCATGCAGGCAACAGGAGGATCGTTTCGCTCATGGACTGGTGTGTTTTGCACTTTGAACAGGTCCCTGCTGGAGACGACGAAGCCGTACATCGTGAATACGTTGCGGGTGCCGGCCGCCCATTCCTGTCTCCTCTTCTCCCGCTCCGTCGACTCCAATCCGGACTTCTCTCGGTCGGCTCAAATTTTTCCTTATAAAAAAAAGATCCGGATAAATTATTTATTCAGCTCTAGATTGCAAACTGAACTGGATAGTTGCATTTAGTTTCAGTACAAAAACAACTCAACTGGGCTTTTTCAGACTTATTGGTTTCATACTCGTCATAATTTTCTGTCCCCTGCCGGCCGAAGGTTTCCCCATGCTTTCGCCTCTTCATCTTGGCCAGAGACACTTCGTTTGTCCTTCAAAACTTCTCATTTCTATGTTGAGATAAATTTGATACTGTGCATAGGTTCTGGAAAACCAAGATGTTCACCAGGTTTGAAAGTTGGTGTAAATTTGTAAAGGCCAATTTTGAAGCTGAAATATTCCCATAATTGTCGAGGAAAGCTTTGCCCAGGCTGACGCAGGCAGACAGACAGACTCGGGCTCACCGCACACGTTCAAACGATTAAATCGGCAGCCTCTTTTCAAAAGAAAGGGTGCTCACTAAAAACGGAGAGTGGTAATATTAAAGCAAATATAAGCGACGAAAGAATGAATGAATGCAGAGAGATCTGAAGAGATATCTGACTTGTCAAATCCTATTCCTACGTTGAAACCATCCCTGATGGCAGAGTGGTCTGCGACGAGTGGTTGGAGCTGCGCTTCCCGGACGTGGATTCCGCCCAGCTGGCCCTGCTGCGAGCGGCTCAGATCCGCACGCTGTGGATGGAGATCCTCGCGACTCGACTCTCGGGGGACGAGGACTCTCGGAGGGCCGGGGACTCGCGGCGGCTCCAGCGCCTCGCCCTGCAGTTCTACCTGCAGGAAGTCCCGTGCTCCGTGCGACGGCTCCTGCCCGCCGACACCAAGCACCTGTACAAGGGAGACACGGGAGGAGACATCTGGAGGCTGGACGGAGAGGCGAATCCCTTCTCCACCGACGGAGACGTCATTCGGGGCGACATCCATCCCGTGAAGGGGGGTCTCCGACTCACTCCTTTCCTCACTTACGACTGGTGCAGGACACTCCTCCATTCTCGCTTTGCTTTTTTCCTCATTTATCTATGCTGGTGTAGTCACTGTTCCGTTGTCAATTTCTGTAGTTTGCTATTTGGATTATGCAGTCTTTTGCTCCGTAGCCTCTGTTGGACCATGTTGGTATGTAGTCATTTAGTAAGAAAAATAGCCATGTGCGATTCTTCATTCATTTGCTAACCGTGATATGTGATCTTTGAGTGTAATAAGATGTCCCTGCATTTTTGTGAGCAGTCTGGAAGGGGAGAGCCTGGAGGGGTTGCGAGGGATGGGAGGAATGGGAGAGGAGGACGAGGAGGAATCAGGATGGACCTGTCCCCACTGCGAAACCCTTTTCCCCCTGGACAACGTCTTTGAAAAACTGAATCACATGCGTGCTTATCTCTTGCACGACCATGATGGTACGCTTCAAGGCAAATGTCCTTGCTCAAGTCAGTTAAGGATGTTTCACATTTTCACCAGTCATTGAGATGAATCTCATGCTGCTATGTTCATTGCCATCCACAAGAGCTACACGAAGCTCATCGTTTACGGAACGGCCTTGAGCGTTGCATCGAAGGACTCTTCTGGGAGCCCTTGCTGGTGGTAAAATAAAAGAAAAAATATATAGTGAAATCTCTCTTCATGTACTTAGTGAAAGTGGGAAATATGGTTGCACCTAATTGGATGGGTGCTCAAAAACTCCCAAAAAATATTGGAGTTGAAAGTTGATATTGGTTTCTTTGGATGGAACTGGGGAAATATGAATTTATACTTTAAAAAGGATTAATTAATGTATGTCTATGAATAATGAATTGTTAAAAATAAAATGACCATTTTGAAACTTTAGGGTGAGGATGGGGGAATTGTGCAAGGAAATTACGAACGGATTCATCTCAAGCGTATAATATGAGCAAGTAGTAAAATTATTGAATGTTTTTTAATTAGTAAACCGTTTGAAAAGCAAATGGCCATGCATGGAGCCTCGTGGTACATACAGGGCGACACTGAAAAATGTTAGGTCGTGAATTAAAAAAAGCGGTCACGACGTAACATTTTTCGAGGCCATCTTGTGCTATCACCTACATTGCAAGTACCTCTCAATCCCCTGGAATGTCCGTCTGAATGCATGATTCTCCTGCCACTTGGAATACCGAACACGAAAACTGCTTTCACTTTGTGATATGTGATTCCTGGTCTATTTGGAAAGGGAAAATCTCCCATGGGGGCTTGACAAAATTTTTTTCCTCGACTGTAGTTTCGTTGAAAATGTGTTTTCATTTCATGCCGAAGGCTCTCTCTTCTCCCTCCAGAGAAAGGAGAGAAAAAGGAAGAGGAGGAGGAGGAGAAGAGCGGAAAAGGATCTCGCAAGTACTTCTGCCCCGATTGCAACAGAGAACTGAGGCTCTCCACGGCCGAGATCTTCCGCCACAAGAAGACACACGCTTCCGGTGGGACTACTTCCAAAGGGACTGCTTCCTGATGGACACATCCCATGCGAGCCTATGGATTTTGTGCCGAGGGAATGGATCCGATTTGCTCCCGTGTTGTCATTCGTTCGTCCGAGACGAAGTTTTTGGAGACGGATCTCGTGTCTCGTCCGGAAGAAACTCGTGAAAATGTGAATGTTGACATTTTGGATTCTTTTTGCTGGCTTTTTCTTGACAACGGTGACCAAAGTGCTAATAATGGACAGGAGAGTGGAAAGTTGTTGCCTGATTGCGCCTCTATCATGGAATGGCCAGCCTTGGGACGTTGTGAAATTCTGCCCTTTTATTTTCCATCGGTCGGATGTGTCTGTTGGTTGGCAATTTTGAGGGTAGGCGATGCCCATCGCCTGTGTTAATTCCCATTTCATTCAGGTGATACTTGAAGCATCATCGATGCTTTGCTGCTGTAGTGGATTTCACTTGTGCTGGAACGATGGGTCAGCATTCGGTCCACTTAGGGGGTAAATTGTCTCTTCCCGCTTCCCCTTTGTTTTTTTTTTTTCCACCACAGGAACTGGAACAAAAGAATGTCGTGGAAAATGGTGAAAATAAAGTCAGTCGTCTTATTTGCCAAAAAGAAGTCTTTTTATGAAGCACGGATGGATTTAGGACGAACCACCGGGCTTTTCAGGAAGGTGACTAAAGAAAAATCGTGTAGGGCCAGAAGTAGACCTTCGGCGCGGAGATCCAGACGCAGCAGTCAGAAACACTCCCTGTCGGCTTTTTGCCAAGGCAGACTTCCGAAACGATCTTCGGGTTTTCGCTCTCACGGGGGAGGGCGTGCTTAATCGAGTATCGATAAAATCCTGGACGAGATCATTCACTGGCTGCAGATGAAAAAGGTCCTCCGTTTCCTATTCCTGTCTGAGAGAATCCGAGGGACATAACCTGCTCTTTACCTTCTCGACACAAATTTGAAGTTTCATCTCCGGTATTCGGAGAAAATAGAATCTCATTTTTGGCTGGTGCGAGTTTCGTTCTGGTATTTCCCTCTCCTCGTACCATGACTTTAGGAGATATCGGAGGAAGGAGAGAGGGAGCACATCGGAGATACGAGCCCTTTCCGTTGTTGGCCATGAGCCATTTTGTGGTGAAAAATGGAATTAGCTGTCGTCTGTTTTAGAGTGCACCGAATCGTTCGAAGGCGGAGAAGGGTTCGTGTTCGCCAAATCCAACATTTTTAGAAAATCAGCACTTTGTACAGTGAGAAACCATCCTCGAAACTTTGTGATTCCCACAGGGCCGGATTAAGAAGTTGCGAGGCCCGGGGCAAGTGAATTCCTGGGGCTCCCCCCCCCCCTCCCCGCTACTTTACGCAAGTAATTCTTTTTATGTCCATTGACCCTTCTCCCTTCTGAAGGGGGGGGGGGGGGGTGTTGGGAGTGTCTTTGCACTGGGCGCCGAAATAGCTAAGGCCGGCCCTGTATAGGGGTTAAACCTCGCATCGGTTTCGCGCAGTTGCCTACCGTCGCATTCGGCAAGCTGTCGGCGACCAAGAAGAATCAAGCCGGAATCCCTCGGCTGCAACCTCGACGAGTTTCCCCTGCGAAAAACAGCTGGGGACTGTATATGCTGAACTTATTTAACGAAATGGGACTATCATTTGCATGGAGATATGATCATGGTTTTTGCTGACGGCAAAGAGAAGGATAGTAGATATTGAATTTCAAAAACAGTACGAAATAATAAAGCAGCAGAGGACATTAAGCCTGTACAAAGAAGTAAAAGAAACTCCTGGTATGGCAGAATATCTAGAGAAAGTCTCAGAAAGGGATAGAAGAACCTTAGCTGTATTTCGACTAGGCATATATAAATGGAGAACAAGAAATTGGGAATGCAAATGTCCTTATTGTTGGAAAGCGGAAGATGACTACCATGTATTGTTAGAGTGCGAAGCATATGTGAGCATAAGGAAAAACTATCTGAGCAAGTATTTTTGGAAATCCCCTAGTAAATATAAACTGAAGAAACTGTTTGCTAAGGATTATAGGGCACGGATTTGGAGCTCACTGGCTAAATGTATTCGAGAAATATTAGAAAAAAGAGAAACCCATCCCATGCTGACAGCAAATACAGATCATTCCTGAAGGGTAAAATAAATAAAATAAAATAAATAAAAAGATGACGTAGAGATATGAAATTATGGTATTATAGCATGTGCTGAATTACCTGAATAAACTGATTCTGATTCTGTATTTCATACTATAGATAGTAATACTATAGCGAGTTTGTTTGCCCGTAGGGCAAACAAATTTGCTATGGTCGCGCCTTCGGCACTCCATTCCCTTAGAAAGTGATTAATTCAGTTATTGTTTACGAAATGGCAAACACGTATTTAAAGTACGTCCCCATTGAAATACGTGACATATGGGACGAAAGTCTTCATTTTTGTCAAAATCATTACTTCTATTATTTCTAGTGTGCCTAACTTGAAATATTTTCATGTGTTCCTTTTTGTAAGGATGGAGAATACATTTAAAAATACTTCCCTCCCATAATATACGCTAAGAGGGCATATTTCAAAAGTAGGATTTTTCATGTATTCAGTCATCAAATAGGTACTTCTGAGGGAATTTTAAATTCTCTGTCTGTTTCGTTGAATAAAAAAAATTCAGAAAAATGGGACTTACAAATAAAGTTCCCTGATGGATTTAACGAAAAATTTTTCTTCTTCGAAAATGTAGACTCAGGGAACTCCATGCCACCCAGTTTCAGCCTTATACGCTTCCTCTTTTTACTGGTGGTAAAAAATAATTTTATAAAGCGACCCACCCAAAACCTGTGCTCTGAGGAGACGCACAAGAAAATTGAATTTTTCCTTAAATCAAAATCACGTCCGGTATGCGTGCGCCAGCTACTTTTTCTGGACTCTGCATCCCAAAAGGTACATGTGTCCTAAGTTTCAGAGTTCTAACTTCTCTAGATCATGGTTATAATTGGCGTCAGTCAGTAAGTCGGTCACGATCGTCTATGCTGTATATTAGATAAGGAAATGTCAGGCGAGTGAAGAAGGAAAATATATGACTGACAGAATGGAAATTGGTAGGCAATGCAAAATGGTTAATGGCAATGGTGTAAACGTTCAATAAGAACGAGTATGTTAAAACAAATCACTGTTAAGATAATGGAATCAATCTTGCTGCGTCCCCGAAGAGCTAGTGAGTTGGGTGGGATTATTTTGCCTCTTCTCTGGATTTATCTTCGCTTCCTAGCGATTCCGCGAGCCATTGACTTCTGCGTTCCAAAATATGTGTTCCAAAATTGGCAATGGTTAGGTCAAAATCAACAGGAAACTTTGCAAACGTACTCAAACCTGCTCCAAATTGTTCCGAACGAATGAGGTCTTATGAAGGAAATTCGACCGGTTTGGGCAACATCTCTCATTTCTTACTTAGAACGAGCAATACGCCGCGTACAAGTCCATCATAGCAGAAAACAAATTTTGAACATTCGCGCAAAATTGCGTTATTACCAGCCACTCATAGTGTACACGATACTTCGGACGAGGTACAATTTAACTTCATGAATTCCTTAACAAAAGCTAATATCTGAATGAAAAAGAAAATGTTCACAGGATGCCACTATTTGTGGAGACTTGCTGGGAAAACTGTGGCTTGCTAATACGTATTTTTCATACTATGGTGTGTAGAACATTTGAAGATCCGTGATTTGTATATTTGCCACTTTTAGTGAGCTTTTCCTATTCATATACAGATGGGTTCCATCTAACACCTACACAGAAAAAGTACTGTAGAAAGTTTAATGAAATGTGAAACATCTGTTTTTGGCATTCCATGAATCTATGTTGTTTGGCGTGAGACGAGTTCCAGACTCACATAATTTATATTTTAAGAGGAAAAATGGAAATTATCAATCGTAAAAGTAGGTTTTTAAATTGTAAACATTTTTATGATGATATCAATATATGCATGTATGCAATACAATCCACAGGGATTGGTTTTTCTTGTCGCAACGACTGTGAGGTACAACGCGAAAAAAG